CCAATGCACTAGCATGCCGAAAAACGGCAGTGGCTACGACTGCGGCGGCAGAGAAACTACAAGCACGGCCCCGAAGCTGTACATAGCAGAACCACACCCGGAACGAAGCCGAACGAAGACACAAGCGAACCCCAGCAAAGCCCGAAACCGAAAAACCAACAAAGCCAAAGCTAAACCCGGAAGGTCAGCGAAACTGGGGACGACAGCTAAAGCCGCGCGGAGTATGAGCAAAGCTCGTGCAGCTGCCCGAGTAGATACGAAGTGCCAAGTAACCGCCCTGGACAGCACAAAGCAAGGACTGGCAAGACACTCCGATCAGAGGGAAATCACGACCCATGCACATGTACATGGCCTCACACGACTCAAAATGACACGTCTTCGCCTGCCCAATGCTTGCAGGCAAAAGCAGATGCAAGGACACCACCCCCGGCGAGAAAAAGGAGTGGGCAGCACGATGAGTTGATGACCATGTAGACAAGTTCAATGTGTCCCAGCTGAAACTTCACCACACCAGCATTGAAGGGAAAACGCAGCCACAAGAACGAGCCACAGCCGGTAAAGGGGGTACCACCAGGATCCCAAACCAGGACTGCGGGAAGTGTGCCCAAAGGCCGTCGTCCACTTGTCTGCGCCTGCAGTAGATCGTTGACATCACGAGCACATGCCAGCGCCACCAACCATGCATCCGGCCACAGAGCAGATGCAGGAAGGAGGCTGCGGGTCATGCGCAAGCATGCCACGTAGCCGGTGGTGGCATGCTTCGCCCAAAACCCATACCAATGGACAGCTGAGCGAACAGTGACCCTCTATTCCGAGAGAGGCGCAGTCGAGATCCCAGCAGAAACGTCAGATCGCATCGAGCTCCCGGACTGTCGCGCCGGAGATACATAAGGGACCCACACTGGGGTCTGGCAAAAGCTACAGTCGCGGGCACGGCTCCGCCGACACCAGGGGCTGCTCGCTTTGCAGCCGAGACGCCTGTAAGCTCGGCACCTTAATCTTAAACCCAATACAGCCGTGCACAAACCCTGATCAAGTCTTTACTCCTGAGGTCCGTGGTCTCGTGCGCCTGAAGCAGAGCAAGTTCAGCCAAGAGGGCTTGAAGGCTTTCTACAGGCTCGTGGTGGATCTTACACAGCTCTTTTCAGTTTGTTCGATGATTGGTATCGGGTTACTGGCTTGCTACTGAAGGTTTAGCGTTCCATTGTTGTTCGGCGGCAAGCGAAAGGAACACATGATGTGATATGTGACGCCATGGCTAGCCAAGGTGGAGGTTGGTGTGGCTGCCAGTGCCCGATGTAGCACTGGGATGTTCCGGGTTTCGTGCTTTGGATTCCGGTTCTCGTGCCAGATTTTGGTTGTTGATTCAGCATTATGCATCTTCTGAAGGTATCTGTTGAAGGCATCGAGACACTCAACTTGGCAGCAGATGTTGAATCAGCCTTACAATGCCCTGATGCCAGAACACCCCGATGCCCTAAACCGCCCAAACCGTAACTCGGAATCCCACACCTTAGACAGGAACCTTTCAGCACCAGCCTCAACCCGGCCCCAGCTCTGAAACTTTGTTTCAGGCTGATCTGGCTGCTGTTCTACTCCGAATACTTCCTCTTCCCCTTTGCCAGGACCTCGGCTCCCTTTTGCCTCAGCTCAGGCGTTGGGCCGAATTGGATGGAAAAGTCACAAGTCAATGCTGTCTGCCCTAGCGGCTGCAACATGCCCCCTTGCATATGTAGGACCAGGAGCCACTTGTGCTTGAACGGGCAGCCTTAGCAGATTATCCAAAACCCAAGCCAATGTACAGAAAGAGACCAGTAGTGAACAGTACTGTATGCCGACGATAGAAATGTTTCTGCACATTACACACAGTCTAGCTTTAACTTAGAATGGTGGACGTGCAAAGGAAGGATGCTTTTTGAGAGATTCTTTCATGCTGGGGTCCAAGTTCAGGTTTACTACAGTTTAGGTTTGCAGTTTGTTTGGCTTTGGCAGCAGAATCAACATACTGATGACGAAAATGCGCTGGCCATAACAGTCAGAAAGTCAAGCACTTGCGGACATCGTACATGGCAGGCTTTGGTGTAGGCCACCGTGCATAACAGACAGGTTGTGTACATCCTGTTTGCGCGCGATCACATCCATTGCCCACGTCTCAAAGCATGAAACAAAGAATGAAACCAGACCCGAATCCACGGCCTCCGAACAAAGCATGATAGATCTCCTTTTCCGATACCTGTTGCTCTGCAATAGCGTTCGTCACTGTGCTCGCGCTGAGATCCACGAGCCTACCAAATGCCAGAGGGCCGAACACTAGCACGCCAAGAGCAACGGAAGCCTCCGCAATTCATGTTTTCCTGCAGCACCACCCTCGGGTCGTGGCCCTGGGTAACCAGGATGCTCCCAAACATGCTTTGGTGAAGGGCCCGAACTCCTGACATGCTTCTTAGTTTCTACGAGCATCATCACCATCGGCAGCATGATGATGACAAGCAGCTTCGTCAGCACCAACTCCAGCAGCTTCAGGATCATCTTCTTCATTCCAACAGCATGGCATCGTCGTCGCCAGCATCGCCGTCGTTGCACTAGATCTGCCTGTACTTGCAAGAGAAAGTGTCGCTCAGTCCAGACCTTCGTGTTGGTGTTTTCTGTGTGGTTGGCAAATGCTTGAGTTGACTGCGCTGTTGTAGCAAAGCTCTCATGTGATTTGCCTATCTCACATCTAGCAGTCTGGCGGCTTGTTGGATCGGTGTTCGATCTATGTAGAAAAGACCCTGCCAAGCTGGATCTCCCAAAGCTTTCTTCTCTGTGATCCCTGAAGCGTCGTAGTACCAAGACTACAGGCATTTGCTTAGGCCACCAGCTTCAGCTAAATCTGAAACTTGTGCGAGGTATGAAGATGGTACCGGAGCCTTCCGATGACTTTGGGCCACATCGGGACGATAAGGAGGGCACTAACAATCGCGCAGTCATATTCCCGTTGGGGGACCCAAATCCAGCAGCCTTGCGTTGATGTCCTGGTTTAGATAGAGGTTTGGGTATCCCTGAGCCTATGTGCAAATCCTCGGGTCACCAGAAACTTGAACTGAACTTACAACTTACAAGAATTGGTTGGCGGATCTTCAACCGTAAGAATAAGGCGCAAGAAGGCTCGAACTTGAAGCTCTTGGGCTTGAAGCCCTTCGAGCCCGAATGCAAAACCGTAGCCACAAAGCCTTCAACCCCTAGAAACCTGAAGCCCAACAGGCTTAACCCTCCGAATTTGAGATCCTTGCGACTCAACAACCCTACAGCCCAAAGGATGCTCTAAGCAAAACATCATACTATACGAAAAACTCCAAAGCCCTACGCCTACGACCCTCAAATTCCAAGATGCCGAAGCCCAAATCAGCAAGCCCTTAAGCCCTGATTAATATAGGGGCCTAAATTAGGGGCCTAAATAATTACCAATCCTACTGTGGGGGCTCCTTGTTATAATTATGGTATAATGTGCCCCAAGCCCCATTCTAATTATTCAGGCCCCTGCATTGAATCCTTTTAATAGCCCTTAATATAACCCTTATATAGACCCCTCTAAAGGAAGCCTAGTCCAACTATTACGGCCCCTAGAGTACTTCAGCTCTGTTCTGAAAAGGCCAGGCCTTCGTCTTAGGCAGAGCCAGGCGGCTCCTGGCCCCGATTCCGGAATTTTCCTCCCAAGATCGGAAGCAGGTGAAGTCACAAGTACCAGGATAGATCGTGCAAGAAGAAGGCAAAAAAGTACCACATTCGCAATTTAGGGTTTCGGGATTCGCCCTTGGGGCCTGGGCAAAGCATCAAGATGTGAGCTGCATCTCTGAGGCGCAGGCGGCTTAGGCTGTAGGATGCAGGGTCCAAGTTTCTGCGATGGGTTTCGGCTTTGAGGCGCAACAAGGAGGAGAGAAGCTTAGTAGTAGAGTAGGGAACCTTTAACCCTTCTTGGGTAGTATAGCCCCTATATAATCCCTGTATAACCAAAAAATGTTAACCTTGAGTTCCCCATGGGCTCGGGTTTTGGGCTGTCTGCTGCGGAGCTCGGCTCTGAGTTGGTACTTGTGTAAGGCCAAGGCTTGGTGAACCTAGAGGCTACACCCTGTACCGCCTATACCTCAAAGCTTAATCGCAAGTCCTCCAAAGTCAATTGAAGCCTTAGCCTCAGAACCTAACCTCATAGAGTTACTTCGTGATCGTAAATTTATAGGTCACCGTTGTGGCATTCGATCTTGGTCATGAGCGCAGAAGCCTCCGAATTTTCTCATCCGCGCGAATGGGACGAAAACGGACATCCGGAGTTTGGGTTCTCTTGTCTTAGCATTTGGGCTTTTGATGGGGAGCCCCTACATTTCTCTTGCGGTTTGGTGGGTGGCATAAGGAAATACCTGAATCTAGATGGCGACTTTGTGAGTTGACATATATGGTTCCCTCCATCGTGGGTATGCCAGCCTTCAGATTTCAGAGGTCTTTTCCAAAGAAGCCTAAGAAGACCTTGATGGAAAAACCTCAAGGGGTAACGGCGCAAGACCTCAATCCCCAGCTCCCGTCCGTAAATCCGCCCTGCATCAATCTATAAGGACCTGTATCATATGAAGCCTTTGATCTTTCAAGTAGTGGCCCTGCACCGGAGCTCCTCAATGACAGACTTTTTCGGGGTTGGTTCCCTCAGCTTTGCATCTTCAACCTCTCACTCCTGCCTATGGTCGGAGGCCCGAACACGACCGTCATTCAACTCAATTGTCTGCAAATGATTCGACCCAGACCAGCAGACTCCTTCGCCTTCTGTCTCTGGCGATTCTGATTGTGCGCAGAACGGCACTGAAGGATATGATGATGATGATGATGATGATGCGAAGGAAAGAGGGAGATTCCATGATGTGCAATGGTGAAAGTTCTTTGTCTCGGATGATATTCACAGTGGGCCGGTGGGGTTGACGGCGATGGCAATGATGAGTCTGTCTCCCACTGGCTCATTCCTCATTCGGTGCCAGGGGCTGAAGAGGCCGAAGAAGAGACGGAAGCCTTCAACACGGAGGCCAGCAGCTCCATGCAGACCAATCGCGAAGGATCCGCCCAGCCAGAAATCCGAAGTCTTAAATCTAATCCAAAGACCTAAACCCAGAAATCCCGAAGCCCAAAGCAATCCCTAGATTCTCAATCATAAACCCTATAATTAGCAATTCCGAGCCTGGCAGCCAACAGCTCCCGCGCTTTTCGGTCCGTCGATGCCAAAAACCACTCTGGCAGCCAAACCAAGAAGTAGTGTCATTGTTCCTGAGCTCCTTGATACGGTTACAGTATGAGACACCCTAAACCCTGTATAGTGTGCAACAGTATTCCCGCGGGGCCCCGACAGATGCAAGAAGACTCTGGAATCCCTCGACCAACCCAGGTCGATTCAGGTTTTCATGTCTTGACGTCATTGCACAGCAGCTCTTGGGTTTTCAACAGGCATCGTAGGGTTTATGCAGGCACCCTTTTCCCCCGCTCTAGCAGCTTTTCCGTATAAGCAGTCGCAGGTGCGCCGTGTCTTGGCCACGCAGTTCAACATCGCCGGTAGCAGGAAGCTGAGGGTTTCAGAGACTTCATGGGCTCTTTTGGAGGCCATAGTTGGGTCCTTGTTTTGCTCAAACTCCCGGGTGCGAGGTGGCGGATGTTCGCTTAGATTGCGATTCAAGGTCGGGAAAGGTCTTGAAGTCAGTGCACTTGCTGGAGCTTTCACGGTTGCGACTTCCTGCTCAGTTGGAGACTCCCATACGAGTCGAGGATCTTAGGATGTCCGCGGTCACCCCGAAACCCTAAACTATCGTAAACCCTCCAAGCACTACCACCACCCCTTTCCCTAACCGAATCTAACCGAGGTCTCGTCCCTTGGGAAGAGCAGGCTCCGGAAGGAGGAGGACCACTGTTTCCGGAGCCTTGTACAATCTACAAGCATGACAAATTATCAATGCTACTCTCAAGGGCGTCCTGTTCTAAGTATGCTGCAAGCTGCACCCGGAACCCTGCTCTAACTGTTTTGGCTCCGTTGTCAAGGTCCCTGTATACAGGCGCTACAAACAGTGGCTTATGGGAGTTCTTTTGGGCGGCTTTGCCTTAAGTCTGAAGTGCGATACTCGTGAAGCTTAGAGTCTTTGAGTCGAGGATCCTAGACTCTGAAACCCTTCAAAGCCCAACTCCGGGCGAGGATCCGGCTTCTTGGACGACGACGATGACGACGAAGAGCGCCCATCAGTGGGCCATGTCGCGGTCAGGGGCCCAACTCTTTCTTTGAGGTCTGAAAGATTTCGGTGAGTTTCAGGACACAGGTGCACCATAATCTAGCCAGTAACGTAGGATCCTTATCTTATTTCCTGCTACCAAAACACCATTGCGGCTCACATTCGAGGCATGTAAGCAGTTGATTCGTGATCCAGCAGCTCGCCTTGAGGCAGATGGTCAAGTACGAAACCTCGGCACATCCTCACCCCAAGGGCCGAAACCGTAGATTCCCAAGCGAATCTTACACCGTGAAACCGAAATCCCAAACACAACCTTGGCGGAGGAAAGGCGGAGGCTTGTTCCGGGGCGCTCCTCGTGGGAGCGTCCATCTTTGTGTGAGCATCACGCGATCGCGAGGAATCCCCGCAGCCGAGTCGGAAGCAGCGATCGCAGCAGCAAGCACAGCATAATCTCGATAATGCGGATCACCATATGGGGGTTTCCGAAAATTAGGGGTACCTTATTTTGGGGCCCTTATAATAAGGATCGTACTATTCAGGGTACTATATTAAGGTCCCCGTTGTCGGAAACTCCCATATTGACCGACCCACGCAGCAAGAAGCCAAGTCCGTCACAGGTTGAGTTCGCACATCTGTGTTGCATCCAGCACTTGTCGTCACCAGGTCTGAACACAAGTCCCAGTCCATAGATCTATGTCTGTTCTTGTATCTATACATACATTCTAGCAATATCCCCGCAAACTCTTGTCCAACTGTTCGGTCCAAGCTCCTCTAAGACAGACTAACATCGGCCTTCTGCCAGGCTGCCAAGAACATCGTTTGGGCGCGGCGCTTCAAGGTGGAGATATGCTTTTCCTTTGGTAGGTTGCGGTGTTGAGAGTTGAGGGATTCTGGGATTCTACAGGGGTCCGGCTTTCCCCAGATCCCCTCACGACATTTTTCATGGATGATTCTGTGAAGTTCCGGCCAGAAAGGCAGCCTTAAAGCTCTTGAATGCCAGAAATGGCCAAAAATGCCCTGGGACCCCAAAAATCCCCCAAGAAGCCTTTAAACGCCCAAATCGTGGAAGGCTTCTTCTTCTTCAGAGTTGCTATGTGGAGTAGAGCAACACTCATCTGATCATCTGAGCTTGTTGGGTTCAAGGGTTTCGAGGGTCGAAGCTTCAGGGTGTAGAATCGTGAAAAAGTGGGATCGGGTGTTTACGCAGAGGCTGTTGGGTTGGGGTTGACCAGGAGCGGTTCCGATCTCGTGCGAGCGCGACTTTCATGTGCGTCGCCGCAACATGCTCACCGGGCTCAAGGCATAATTAGTTCGATTGTCCGGCTCCATACAAAGCACACCATGGGCATAGGAAATTGGACGTAATTGTCAACATGGCTCTAGATCAGACGGGTCTGGGTCAATGCAGCCGCTCTCGTTGGCAGCAAGAGGGCCTCCCTGGAATTGCTTCATGGCTTCCATGCAGTTTTCCGCCCTAGCGGACGAAGTATGAATCATATCTCCAGCAAGTAGATCCAAGCAAAGACTTAGTCCACGGGTCAGGGGGGAGGCTATAAGATGTCGGGCTCGTCTTAAAGGATACCTTCTCATATGTAAGTGCTTTGGTCCTTGGTGGTTTAGGGTTCATTGCTTTAGGGCTTAGCGCGAGACTCCCTCGTTCGCCTCCGGCTGGACGGCGTGCCTCTTTGCGGCCTGGGACTCGGAGCCTGCGATCAACACTGTCTTGCAGCCCGGAGTATAGCTGTATCTTCATTTAGCCCCAATGAAGGTACTTTTCACCCTACTTACTAAGTCCCATGTATTCCCTGAACCCTAAACGTCGCCAAAGCCTCTGAGCCGCAAGCCCTCTGCCATGGACGGCCCTACCGTCTCAAACTTCAGCAGCGCCTCTACCGCACTTGCCTTGCACTCGAAACACTTCCCCACTGGCAAGACTTCCCGTGACAGTATGCGCATAGTCGGCTCCCAGCTCAGGCCCAACTAGGAAAGGAACGTACCTCGATTGTAATGATGAAGCCTCCTGCCTTAATTGAAATCCCAAGCCCTGCGTGTTGAAGTCCCACGCCCGTAACTTCGTTTTGCCGCCCACAGAGGACATGTCGACCACCATCGAGATCATAGAAGGACGCCCGAGATCGACCTTTTTGGAATTAGCGGTTGAGAGTTTTAGCTTCGAGTTTCGACTGAAGCAATCTGGAGGTTCGATGACAGGAAGGGCGGTAGCTCTCTATCACCTCCAGAAAATTTGTGGTACGGCAGCCCTGCTCCACGCCGTGCGCGGATTCCAGCATCAAAGACTTTCTTGCAAACTTCCCAAAAAGTCAGTTCTTAAACCATCGAGAAACTCTTTTAAGGAAATCCTCAACGCCTTGAACCGAAAACGACTTCGGAAGCTTTACCAAAGTCTGCCAAGCTTCTGTTCGGCGAGGATGCACCGAGAGGACCAGTCGCCTAGGACTGAAGAAGGCCATGCAGGCTGGCCGAACTCGGCTTTCAAACCCGGCTGAGGGTTTAGGGCACTTCAGGGTTTGGAGTTGAGGGAAGACAGTACAACCGAGGGGTCTAAAAAATCGGTTAGATTGTTCCTTAGGGCCTCGGTTAGGTTTCGCCCATTTCAATGAAGGTCTCATATTTCGCGAGACCCCAATTGAAGTGTGCATGCCCCTACAGCTGGGTTTCGCACGACAGGTTTCAGCATGCTGCTGCAATTCTGCTCAGGTTTCTCCTTTTGCGTTAGTGCCGGGGGTTTGGGGAGCGCTGGGGGAAGGGGTTTGGATTCGGGAATGAGGGTGTGGATGCGTGGATTGGTGGTGATTAAGCTTTCTCTCGAAGACTGGGGACCGATGCTTAAAGGTTTGGATAGTCGGTGTTTCCTTTCCTGCTACGGTTGAGAGTCTTGAACTCGCTTTATGGCCAAGATTACTCTTGCCACAGCAGTTGCAATGACTACGAGGACTGTGGGTGCTATCAGTATTTCTGTTGATTTCTGACTTCGCGTTTGACGGGCTATATATTGTAAACGCTTGCAACTACTTTGATCCGCCGTGATCCCCAGCTGTACGAGCACCGGATAGAGACGAGGTCTCGCGAGGACACTCAACCCGGAAGCAAGACAATAAGCAATTTAAGGCTCGGAAGAGGCGAACCGCTGCCGTTCCGAGTGGAAGCTTAGCATGATCAGGGAGCTACAACGCAGCCCGAAAGAAAACTATAGCATCCGGTAGTATTACGAGATGCTCACATTCCTTTCAGAGGCTGTCGTTGCAATTGTTATCATGCTTTGCGCTCAAGGAACTTCGGATCTCGATACGCGAACCATGTCAGATCTATTCGTGAATCAGCATCCTGCACACCCAATAGCAGGCACCATTTGCAGGAGACTTGTTTGGGCACTGGGAGTCCATGTTAATAATCATAACTATATAGTACATACTACAATCATAATAACTATATAGTACATACTATATTCATAATAACTATATAGTACATACTATAATCATAATTTATAACCCCACAAAAACCCACAACCCGACAAGCCGGTCAGATCTACGGAGAGATCGATGCTTGCCATATGGGCGATCGGGCAGCGGCTGCCTTGCATTCACTCACGGCTTCGAGGGACTAGGATTTAGGGCTTTGGATTCTGAGCAGAGGGTATAGCCTATATATGAACTCTGACAGGTTCCAGAAAAATTGAGGCCTTTATGTTGACGGATGACGGTACGAGGAGCTTTGACGACCCGTTGATTGATCAACCCCCAGCCCTGGGCCCTGAACCTAAAGCAACCTAAACCCTAAAACCTTCAAACCGTTGGCCATCAAACCGGTACGTACTCTTGACAACAAACAGATTGCAACAAACATGAAAACCCAGAAGCCCATACAGACGGCATGGACTTCGTGGGTCTACTTGCTTTCAAGATGGTAGACGCAGTCCGCAGCCAAAAAGAGGCACTCTGAACCCCGAACTCTCAGAGGAAAAGCCGTGACCATGAAGTTTCCATCCAACTGTGAACTGCCGTGCTTGAAGCTACTGGGGCCAAATGCTTCGTATCCAGGTCATGGGCGATGCGTTTACCGAATATCCGTTGGTGCGATTCAAGTCGCAGATCTCCGCCTGCAAGAAATGGGAGTTTCAGCCTGTAGCCGGTGGAGCTGATACAGTGCTCAGTGCTCAGGGTTTTGTTGTCTCAAGTTAATAACATGGTTCCGTTCGAAGCCCACGAAGTACAGAGTTTCACTAAGTAGTACAACAATCCGTTTGGGTTCGTGAAGATTTTGATGACATGGAACCCCAAAACCCGGGTCGAATAAATCAGGCTTCCACAAGGAGTGAGAGTGCACTTCACCCCCAGCCCAACCAGAATATGCATAGCAATAACAGCGCCAAATGAAAGCTACAGAACTTAACGCCCGAAACCCTAAGCCCTCAACTTCAACACCAAGTCAACGAGATTCCACTGATGCGGTTTTAGCTTGAAGGTAAGAAGAAACAAACCCAAATGCTGGTACAACTGCTGGCTTTAGTAAGTGGTTCTTCGCAGAATTGTTGCTCCGGCGAGCTTTGGCCCGGAACCCGACAACCCAAACCCCGAGAGCCCTAGAACCTACAGAACCTACTACCGGGGCCTAAGCAATTACCAAAAGTATTTTGGGTGGTTCCTTGCTATAAGTATAGTATAATGGACCCCAAAACCTATTCTAACTTTTAAGGCCCCTACATTGGTTCATCATAGTAGCCCTTATAGTAACCCTTGTAGACCCTTTAAAGGAAGCCTGGATTAATTATGAAGGCCCCTATAGTTTACCTGCTGTGCTTGGAGCGCAAGGACGGCGGCGGACAATGCCTTGACAGCACTCAAGGCTGGCCAGGCGCGAAGTGGATGCTTTCATGGTTCGGCAAGGGTTTCGGGCAGGAAGGCTTAAGGCTTAAGGTTTACAAATACGAAATACGAGTTATACACTATATAATGTACCGTATACGGTTCATAAACACAAGGTTCAATGTTGTAATACAACATACACTGCACATGCTACAATGCAATCAACATAAGTATGTATGTACATAGGTCGCGCTGTGCGCTGTGGTGAGTCAAATGGCTGGCATAGTCGAATCACGCTACACGCGCTGAATTCAATTCCTGCATGGGTGGGCGCTAGGACCGCTAGGATAAGATATGTAGACGTCGCCGCAACACCGTCAGGTTCTGTCAATAGAGCCATTTCAGTTGTGATCATCCCGCGGAGGGATGCGCCGTATTGAGCCTTCGCGATGTGCTTCCAGATGCTGTAGCATTCTCCCAGTGGCAGGTCTATCTCGACGGCATCCCGCTCAAAGGCCGCGCATCTGTTCAAAGGGAACGAGAGCTCACGTTGGTGTTGGAGCTGTTGGAGGCGTTTAGGATTCGGCTCGTTTGGCTTACGGTGTCAGAACGTGCAAGGTTGCATCGGCTTGGAGCTTTGGGCATGGGATGCAATGGCTCGCGTGCTTGAGGTCGAATACGAGCCTCAGTCTCAGATGTTCGAGCCCATAGAGATACCTTGCACGACTTTTTATTTGGGGGCTCCATGATCTCCGTGGTCGGTTTTCTAGCCACGTAGACTACCAGGAAGCCGGGGACTCTGCAATCTTAGTTCCTTCCTCAAGCGCCGCAGCCGGCACCAAGAAAGCCAATCAGGCCACCCTCAAATCTGAACCTGTTGCACGCCTTCCCTAAGTTTAGCGTCAAGGTACCTATACAGTACATGCTTTTCCCTTGAAGGGCTTGCTATACAGCGACCTTACGGTCAAAGTAAATGCAATACAGGTACGCATACCATTCGGGATTTTGACTGCGC